AAAAGAAAAAAAAAGTACTGGGCAGTTTTGAAAAATGTCTCTCCCTTCATTTTTCCACTGATACATATTCTTACAAAGCAACTGGCTGAAACTGCTATGTAGCAGAGATTCGTGCCTGGTTTTGTTAAACTGAATTTCAGGAAGCATTCTGAATCTGTCACATAAACCCTGACAGACATCAGTAAATGCTGGACATTTTTACTTCAGTCCAGGCTAGTCCTGAAGAAGATAGCTTCTCTGCTTACGCAATGAGACCCAGTGTGGCCACCTCAGCCAGCTCTTCTCCCACTGTCCCATTGCTTTTCTGTCTCTTCTGGAAGACTTAGGGTCCCTGGAGAGTAAGACCTCTATCTCTTGCCTAGGTATCTTCCAGCACATGGCATGGAACTTGGCCCATAAGCCAATGCTCAAGGAATGTTTATCAAGGGAATCAATGAGTAGACCAGCAGCAACAGCAATAGACCAGAACTCTGGTGGTTATTCTATCTGGGGCCACACCCAAGACTTGTCTGCACTGCCAGCTAGTGCCACTGGTGGGAAACTAATCAAGCATTAGTCGTAGAAGACTGGCATCACTACATGTACCTAACACATGAATCCAAATGCATATTCATACGAGCCCACATGTATGATTAACTTGGGAAGCTGACAGGAAGCAGTCAATCTGTTGAGCAAGTTTGTGTTTTATAAACCAGATGTTCGGTATTATTATTCATCATTTCCTTTGATACCAGAACGGTCCCCATTATGTAGCATAGGAAATGAAGGATATGGAATAATATACACTTATTATACAACAGAGCACCAAAACCAAGCATTTCAGAGGCCCGTTCAAAGCCTGGGCAAATGTAATTGAATGGGAGTTCATTTTAGGATTCCCACTTGGACTTGAGTTAATGGGATTTTTCCCAGATGGACCATGGTGACCTCTCTCTCCTGTTCCTACCCTTTGGAAAATGAATGTTGACTCTACATCTGCATTTTTCTTGGAAGCCATGTGTATGAATCATAAGCAGCTCTTGCCTCAGCAGCCACTACAGGTTAGGGGGCCACAGAAAAGCAAGGACCCCCTAGTGTGTGGGGACAGAGGGTGTCTGGCTGTGGCTGGCTGCATAACTCCTGCTTGGTGGTCTGGACAAAAAGCACTTGCCAATGGCTGCTATTTCCTATGGCAGGACTATAGAATACCTTTCAATCATAAAGTGCTCACAGCACAAATTAACTTTCTTCTCCATGACAGTTTAAGATTCACAGACCCCAGATCTGTGGAGACTGGAGAGATGGAGCTGGTGGGTGCAGAGGAACATCTTAGTGCCATGCATGTGATATTTTCAGGCCCCGCCAGCCTTTGTGGCCACACTGGTGAGCTATATACATCAAGTAGACTACAGTTTAGGGTTCTGGCCAAGCCAGTCCAAATCTGGGCCATAAGTACACCGGGGAGAGAGTACATATGCTCACAGATAGTGGCTAGACTGAGATCACTGCATTTCCTTTGTTTACCAGGGTTTGGTTAAAAAATGAATGGTTTTTCACATGCAACATTATGGGGATTTTTTTTAAGGTAATGACAGGCCGTAATTACTTTTAGAATTAGCCTCTGAGTGACGCTGATACTGTATTCTGACTTAATATTTTGAAGTTAGTTTCCCACGATCTTGTATTTGTGCCAGAACAATTACCAGTGATTTATAACTGATTTTTACTGGTTGCAGGAAAAAGCTTCATTTCTCATTATTGTCAATGGTGTGTTTTGATTTCATCCATGATACATGTTGGCATCATTTGAAATTTTGATTTGAATTGCAAAGTGGAAGTTGCCCAGGGTTATGGATCAGCTCAAATCAGTTTTCTGTATAGCATTAAGGATTAATCAAGGAGGAGGAATATGGGAGATCTCTGATTCTAAGAGAGATGTTTATAG